TGAGTCCCGGATGTCCCAGTCCTATTCATGTCCTCCCTGGTCCACTCCTCCACTCTCCCTCAGCCCCCTCCCTCCGTGCTAAGTCTGTATCGAGAGCCCTGAGTGACAGCTGGCTGGGGCTCTCCGAACTGATTTCCATGTGGTCTTGTTAGGGTTCAGGTCTAGAATGTCCCCCAGTCTCACGTGCTCAGAGTTAAGGTTTATGGAAGGCCGTTGGACCATGGGTGTGCACTGCTCACCAGTGCATTGAGCCAACAAGGACTTCATACCCAAATGTGCTGGTAGGAGGTGGGGCCCTGTTGGAAGGGATGTGTCACTGGGAGTGCATCTGCGGAGGGTGTATCTCCCTCCCGGGCTTCTCCTTTGTTTAGCTCTCCTTCCTGCCTGGCATGAGAGTGAGGAGCTTTCCTCTGCAATTTCTGCCTAGGAGCCAACCAACCATGGAGTGAATCCTCTGAAAGCTGTGAGCTGAATTAAACCCCTCCCGCTTTAAGTTGTGGGTATTGGGTATTGTGTACCCGCAATGGAAAGGTGAGTAATACAGCTCTCTCATAGATGCTGGACGCAACTGTACTCTGGATGCTCCCAGAGCCCCTCTCTTGCCCCGGGCCTCCTGCATGCTTCTCTTTTCAGCCTCCTGGATAGTTCTAGAGAATTTTTTCTCCTCAACAAGAAATGGGGAATATCCTAGGGGCCAGGAATTTAGCTCAGCGGTTCTGCTGCCTGCCTTATAAGCACAAGGACCCGAGTTCGATCCCCGGCACTGTCCCTCCAAAATGGGAAATGTCCTGTTGACATTTCAGAAATTAACATAATCTGTGATTTTTATGAAAATGTAAAGTAGCTAGGCATTACTTGAGTGAATTTTGGCAATATTTATAAAAAGTTGATATATTCGTATCATTCCACTTCAACTACATGTGAATATTGTTACCCTCTTAGAAGAAAAGACATAGATTTGCACAAGAATTCATGTTCTAAGATGCTGATTTCAGTTCTACTAATTACAGCAACAAATGGAGAACAATTTATGTATCCACTAGGAGAGTATTTTGATTATTTATGGCTCTTGAATTCCTTACAGCAGGCTCAGGGAGTGTTGGGACACCAGAGTGTTCAAGAGAGGTTGCTTACTCAGAATGAACAAGAGGCCAACCATGCTCTTGCTCACAGAGACAGAGGAACCCCAAAGGAGGGTGGGGTGTCTAGTGTTCCTTCCTAACAAAGGATTATGGAGAATAGTTACATAATCAAGTTAGATCCACATATGGTGTCACAGGAAGATCCTGCATCCATTGTATTAAGTGTTACCGGCAGATGCAGATTGATACACACATCCTTACCCATTGTATTAGTCATCTATCCCATTGCTGGGACACAGCACTGGACACCCACACTTAGAGGAGGAGAAGCTTAATTTGGCTGATGGTTTCAGGGGACTCAATGCATGGTCACATGGTTGAAAAGCATGAATATCATGATAGAAAAACACAGTGGAGAAAAGAGGTTTACTTATCGGTGGTTGGAGAACAGTGCCACAAAGGAAGGGGTCAGCGGCTACATATATCTCCAAAGTCCATATTCACATTATCCTCCCAGGCATACCTACAGGACTGTTTAGTAACACCACGGGCAGCTCTCAAGCCAATCAGGTAGACACAATTAGGATTAACCTTCACTCACATGTATGTGGGATGACCAATATATTTTAATAGCACATCCATACATGAAAAAGCTTGAAATGAGCCTTAAAATAATAAACACTACATTAATCATTGAGGTGACCTGTGAAGAGAAGAGGAATTATGAAAAGAGGAAGTTATGATGTATCTGTATTGTTAATTTTTTAAAATAATTTCAATCAAAATATTTAAATAAAGTAACTGCTACCTGATGCAACAGACCAAACCTGGAATTTCAACAGTTTAACACCATAAGTTTGTTTTGTGTGTAAATAAATTCTGCTGTGTACTGCAGGTGCTCTCTGCTCTGAGAAGCTCCAGGGGTCCTGGCTGCTTCCTTCTTGTGGTTCCCTCATGTGAACAAAGGGTGGCCATATTTGCTGCAAAGGAGGAGAAAGGATGGGAATGCAGACTGGCTCTCAAACCCCGCAGGTGACCCGCAACACTTCCAACATGTTTCACTGGGAAGGAAGTGTCACAAGCCTTTTTGTGATGACAGAGCGACAGTAATGTTTCCCTGGGCCCAGGAAGGACAGGAGAACATGTGGATGGCTGCTTGTACTCTCTCCCACGAACCATCACAGAGTAGGTACTTAGCAAAAAAGCAACTGATGTCCTTTGTTAGGCAACATCACTCCTCATCTCTTGGAGATGCTTCTGAGAAGACCAGATTTGCCTTGACATTCTCTGAACCCTGAAGTGCCTACACTGTAATGCATGCTTTTAAATCCTACATTGTCCCATGTGATCTGAAGAGGATCATGTAAAAGCTAGCAAAGAGCAGTCACCTTCTTTCCACAATAGCAGTTTCCTGCACTTCCCTTTGCAGTGCGGATTTTCTCCTTGCATCTGATGCAGGCCTTAAATCAACCTGTGAAGCTCTGTCCCCTCCACATGACCATTCCTACCTCATCACCTGGACACGTACATGAGTCACTCGGGAAGCAGGTACTTTTCTGAGAAGCAGGTGCCAGAAAAGAGGCACAGGAAAGACGGCAATTGCTTTTTCTCTTCCAATCTGAGCCAGCATGTCCATGAAGGAACCATTTCTCACCTCCAAGAGGACTGTGTGGTCTCTAGAAACTCAGCTTCAGGAAATGTTTGCTCCTCATCTAGCACTGATGAGGGAGAGCTTTAGGTTCTGCTCCCAAAAGAAGCCAATCCATCCGTTTATGTGTTCAGTTTCCAGCTTCAAGTAAGAAGCTCATTAAAATCCTATACAAATATTGGAATAGCCTCAAACACCTTCCCTGTACACTCAGGGTTATAGCCCAAGAGCCAGGAGATTGGCAGCCAAGTCAAGGACTACTCAGGCCCACCGGGAAAACAAAGAAGGTGATGGCTCCCAGGGACAGATGCCCAGGTGTCTAAAGTCACAGTCCTGAGTGACTTCTCTGGCCAAGGGCCTTGGCTACCAGAGGAGACCAACATGAGCTGGCAGAGCCAGGGACTCCTGAAGGGCGTAGGGATGCTGTGTCACGGGGAGGGCAAGGACATCTGTGCAGCCTCTAGAAGGGGCAGCAGGGAAGGGCTGAGCATGGAGCCAGGTGCCTGAGCTGGAAGGGAAGCCACGTGGGGGACAACCAGGGAAGGGGTCGTGCAGCAGCAGAGTGCTGGCACAGGTCGGCCCTCACAGGACCCAGCTCAGATGTCCCCACTGTGTGTGACTCTGTCATCTCGCTAGGACAGCCTGTCCGAGGCCTCCCAGGGTCCTTCTCTAGGTTAGGAGGGACATGATATGCTGGGCTTAGAGACGATTGGCAAATCCCAAGTTGTAGCAGTGGAGCCAGATGTGCTCACAGCGGGACACTCACCCAGCCCTGTCCCTTACCAGCCAGTCACCTGGGAAAGTCCCAGCCCTGGGAGACCAGGGCTCTTCATCTGTGAAGCGAGTCTGACCAGGCCCGTCCAGTAGGACTGCAGGAAGGTGTGCACCGCGTGGAAAGCACCCAGCCCAGTGCCTGGCTGGAGCCGTGACCACACTGAACGGCAGGTGGCTGCTGTTTCGAACAGGACTGGATCCACCCCGAGCACTTGTCACTGCTCTGCAGGACATATCAGAGACTATGCAGCTCTACAGGACATGCAGGGGTTAATCGGCCAAAATGGGAAATTTCAGGAGTCAAATTCACTAACTTCTTCCTCTTTGAAGATGTATTACAAAATCTGTGCATGAAGCTATCTTTCCCAGTGCATCTCAAAGCCCCTAGAATGTGAGTGAAGGACCAGCTCCCCCTCCATCTGAGCTGCTTTTCCAACCAAACCATTATTTCAATTCATCCTCATCCAAAATCTAGCCCTTATTTAGAATTATGCCACTTAAAGGGAACCTAGGTATAATGCTCCAGTGCACTTTTCTCTGGTTCTCTCAGCCAAGGAAAATGTGTCAAGTCTAGAGCTTTCTGGGCAAAACTTCAAAGAAATATCCCATATTTGTCTAGAAATCTTTGCAGATGACGGTTACAAATCACCTAGTTCTTATGTTACGTCCAGCTACACTGGGACAAGAGCTCAGGACACATCTAATACCCAGTCCAGGTGGACATTCCTCTCTGCTTTATCCACGAATCAAGCAGAACTGCTCAGAGCAGTTTTCCATTGTAAGCCCCAAGATACCTCAACGGAGTGTCTGGCCCTGGGCACCATGCAGTAAAATCGGCTCTCAAAGAAAGAACTGCGGTTTCCCCAAGCCCCAAGCTGCCCTAAGCATTCGCCCTTCCCTGCAGCATCCCCCTCCCTTTAAGCCCTGGAGGACAGCTCTCCATTTCCTGCCACAACTGGAAATGGCCCAAGACTCCACCATCCTATGGGGAAGAGCAGGTCCTGCTCAGCCTAGTTTACTCACTTCTCCACCGCTAACACACAGCCTTCCAAAGAGCATCTGCCCCAAGAAGGTCTGGGGTCAATGCATCTGTGACCAGATGGGGTTCTTCCTTAAAAGTAAATTTTTCCAATATTTTTGAATATGTCAAGCATATGCAGGTATATTTAAAGAATTTTTACAGAACACACTAAAAGGGATAAAGGAAAATAAATATTAAGTGCATTTAACTTTTTTCTGTATTTTGGGGGCTTTTTTTTTGGTACCGGGAATCAAACTCAGGACCCTGCGCTTGCGAGGCAAGTGGCAGAACCACTGAGCTAAATTGCCGGCCCAACTTTTTTCTGTATTTATTGACCCCATCTATTTTAATGATGACTTCACATTTCCAAGAAAGCTTTTATTCCAACGAGAAATTATCTTGTTCCAGATCACAAAATAGGATGGAAGACTTTACAGTTTGTTTTACAAAACAGCAAAACTCTTAAAAACGTTATAAACAGCAATGTTTGTGCCCAATGCCATTGAAAGTTTACAATTTGAAGATAATTAAATCTTTATTAAAAGGGAGAACATGGGAAAAAATTTCAAAAAGAAAAAAATCAACTCATTCACATAGAAGAGAAATGCAAAGATTATGTACTGAACTTAACAAATCCCCATTCTACATTGGCACTATTTAGAAAATTGACTGCTCTTTTCATGCAGAGTTTAGAATCTGCCTCAGAAATAACATAGGTCAGAAGCTGCTGAATGCAGCCCTGGAATGTGTCCTGTCCCTAGTAATCACTCCTCCAGTGGCCCTGGGCCGCTCTAGTCTTCATCTTCTGAACCCTCTTCATCATTGATAGGAAAGGCCCTGAGGGTGGTAGCTTTGAGCCTGCCCCAAAATTCAAGGACTTCCTTCTCATTGGTTTCAGCATGGGCCCTTGGGCCCCACAGGAAGTTATATTGAGGAGGATCACTGTTGGGTACCTCCAGACACAATAGGTACTGTTCCTGCACCAAGTCTGCGGTGAGAAACTTCCTGGGCTCCCCAAAGATGATGTGGTCACTCCCAGGACACACCCCTATCTCACTCAGTGCTTCCCAGATGGCCTCCTCCCTGGCAGAGCTGCCCTGCAGGTAGATGAAACCCAGGATGATTATCAGGAGGATGGTCCTGGGATAGCCCTTGGCATTACTCTCCATCCCATCATAGGTGAGGCCCAAGACAGGGACAAGAATATAGAAGGAGCTGGAAGGTTGCACTTTCTTTACATCAATGCCAAAGACCAGCTGCATGCTCTGAGTGGCTTCCCTGAAGATCACAGGGAAGTGCTCCTTGTACTCTCTAGTGACAACCAGCTTCATTTCTGCCATGGTGCTTGGCTCCTCCGTTAGATACTTTGATGACAGGAACTGGATCAATGCAGCCAGCTTACTATCTACAGCATCACTAATCAAGGACTCAGTGTTGGAACCCTCTTGTTTGCTGCTGGAGCCCCCATGGGATTGGCTTGGTGGGGTGGCATCCATGGCACTGGGAAGAGAGGAGCCTCCCTCAGGATACTGAGAAGGATCCGGCATTTCAGCAATAGAAACCTCCTTTATGGTGCCTAGGATCAGACAATAGAAGAAAGAAGAGGATGTGGAGGAAAGGCAATGAGAGAGGGTGAAAGAGGTGACCTCCTCCTACACAACATTGAAAATCTGCCCATCCACGAAGCCCCATGTCTTACTTTGGCCCTCAGAATCTTCTTCAAGTCGAGAGTGCTTTGGCGATCCAGACATGATGGTATGGGACCTCCAGTTGGAGCTCAGTGATGGGGATTCAAGAACCTGGGGGAGAGAAAGGTTCTGAGCAGCATTTGAAGAGAAGGTAAGGGGAAATGAGTTCGTCCATGGTCCCTAGGCCTTCCCACAGGTGAGACAGGTTGAAGCTGGGATTCTGTATGTTGGGGTATGGGGTTCTCTCTGCTTTTATCCAGACACCAGGCAGTGCCTCGGATCCCTAGGGCCCCCAGGCTATAACAGTGGATACCAGGCTCTATGGATTCCCTTCTTTTGGGGGTGTGGAGGGTATTTCCATACCTTCAGTCCTCACTCAAGTACCTCACCTTGATTGCTGGCAGGTCCTGGCTTTCTCCCTCTGCTGACCAGGCGTGGCTCTGCTGACCTGGTGACCCACTGCCCACCAAGGCGTGCTCTCCCTGAGCTCAAGCAGATAGAAATGAGATGCAGCACTTCTGCACACCCCTGCCCAGGCTTTCCCCAGGGTTTAGACAGAAGGACGAGGTTACAGAAGTCCTCCCTTGTCTGGTGCATGCCCAGGGAGTCACACTTCCCATCTGCTGACCTGTGCATGCACCTTGGAATCCAAGGACACTGTCTCTCTGTCACCCCAGAGGTGGAAGCTGGTGGTGTGTTTGGGGTGACTCTTCCTCTCAGTCCTGTCACTGGCCACCCCAGCCTGACAGCAGGTGCAGTTTCCCATGTCTTAAATCTGTTGAACTGATGCCATATTCATCAGACCAAGTCCCACTCCTCTGTGACGCCCAGAGGCAGGGTCAAAGGTGCACTGTGCTGTCCAGTGCTGACAGCATGATGGAGGTCACCCTCTGGTCTACTGTGCAGAGTTCCCTCAAGTGTCCTCCCTGTAAGTCCTCCCCTTGAGTCTTTCCAAGAGCCCTACCTATCTGTGGCCCTGAGTCTTCCTCCCTCAGACTCCAGGTAGGACTGCAGGACTCAATTCGGTGTGAAAGCATAGGCATACTGAGTTCCATCTATCATGGGTTCTAGGATACACAGCTCTACTTCATTTCTCACTGATTTGGGGCAGGGCTTGGAGGCAATTGAGCCCAGGTGTTTCTGCTCCTGATACCGGAAACATGGAGCTCAGAACAAGGATCTGACTCTGTCAGGTTCCAGTGAAGCAAAAGCTCGCCCTAACCTAAGAATTCTGAGACCCTTTCTCTAGGATTGGATGATTTTCCATCGTACCTAGCAGGTGTTTTTTTTTTTTTTTTTTTGTACTAGGGATTGAACTCAGAACCTTGTACTTCCGAGGCAGGCGGTGGCACCACTGAGCTAATTCCCCGGCCCTGGGACCCTTTCTCTGCAAGGAGGCTCCCCCAGGGGGCCCCCCGCTCCCCCCGCCCCTTATTGATCTGAGCGAGGTCCTTTTTGCTCCTCCTACCTGAAACACAGCCTTTAGAAATAGGGATTTAGCTCAGTGGCACCGCGCCTGCCTTGAAACCGTAAGGTCCTGAGTTCGATCCCCGGTACGAAGAAAAAAAAAAAGTTCTCATTCTGCTGTCAGTTCCCAGAGAGGTCAGAGAGGTTGCTAACCTGAGAATTCGTCACAGCACGAACAGGAGCAGGGACCCGAGGCTTTTCTAGAATGTTCTGGGCCTTCTTTCTGGGCCGGGGCTTCCTCAATCCCCAACAGCCCCTCCTAACTCAGGCCGGGTCCTCTCCCCTCCTTTCGGGGGACGCTCAGCCCTCAAAACAGGGCGCTGGCTCTCCCCTCTGGGTCCCCTTAGGAAGAAGGAGGTCCGTCCCTGACAATTCAGCCTGGAGTACAAGGCTGATATCGCGGGTAGATCTAGACTGTTCCAGGTCCCTCTCTCGGGGGCTGGGTTTCCTTATTCCCCGCACAACCCTGAATGTGACCCTTAACCGAGCCCGGCCTTCCCCTCCTCTCACCCAAAGCGTGCATCGGAAGAGTCTCCAGCGCTGTGACCCCAAGAAGCGTGACCCCAGGAAGAGCGAGACAGCCGATGGACGTCACTTCCGGGAATGTGGGTGGTGGGGGCAGGTGGGGGCAGGTGAGGGCAAGCGGGGGGGGGGGGGGGGCTCGCCGGAGGGCTGGCACGGTCTTCTGAGTCCCTCTTCCCCACAGCTGGCCGCCGTCCTCCCTGACTCCAGGGGCCCCTGAGGCTGCAGAGGAAGAGGCTTACTCTTTAGGTTCGGCCTCCGCTTGCTTCCTGGTAACCAGAACTGCAGAACTGGGTTGTGTGGGGACCCCTGTCTCATGGGCCTTCCTTACTCCTACGCAGCCCATCGCCTTGACCCGTTCATGATTCCGGCCCTCTCCACTCCTCTCACCAGAAGCGTGGAACTCGGAGCAGGACCTGCAGTCGCTGGGACCTCTCGATACTCTAGTCAGTGGACATCACATCCAGCAACTTGCCCAGGGTCACGCAGGGCTGAGCGAGGAACTGAAGGATTCTCCAGGTAACCCTCTCCTCCATAGGGGTCATCACTGATTCCTAGCAGAGCCCACCCTGTTCTCTATAGACCTGAGTCTGTTGCCCTCAGCCAGGCTTGGAATCCTACGTTCCCAAGTCTGTTAATGTACTAACTGTTCTGGAAGCAAATCTTTACCCACTAAGGTGGTTTCAGGTGGTTATCAGCACAGTCTCTGTAGCAGTAATGTCTGGCTTTTCCTGCTGTCCCGGTGTTGCCCTGGGGACATTGGCATCTCTGATGTGAGGTATCTCAGACTGTGCAGTGGTGTAGAGGACTCATGCTGTCATGTGCTACCTATGCAGGCCTCAGCCGCCACCCACTTCCCTGGCCTGCCCACACACAAGTACAGTTCAGAGGTCTCCAGTCTCCCCCAGGGCTTTCCTAGATAAATGTCTTTTACATTTAGATGCCGGTGTATGTTTTCTAGATTCTTCTCTCTCTTCTGTTTTCCAGGATTAATTTGGGAAGCACAAGTCAGTAGACAATGCTTGCTTGTCATTTTGACTTTTACAAGTAGGGTGCTGTATGTAAAGAAAATTAGGCATTTTATATTACTTTGTTTCCTGTGAATGGATATGGGGTATTGCTCTATTTTAAATTCCTTTTCCCTGAACCTGTCAGTACATTTCTGTTCTATAGTTTTCTTTTTCTTTTGTCTATTATACTAGCTAAGACTCCTTAGTATGATGGTTTGTAGGAATGGTGAGAGAAAATATACTTGCCTTATTCCCAATGAAATCACACTTTGATCATCTCTTTACCTCAGGCATACACAACACCACTGCCCCCAAATCTGGAGAGACAGACAGGTGACTAGGGGGTTACCAGAACACAAGTCCAAGATTGGAAACCTCTTTTGTAGCCAGTAATTTGGTTAAAACATTAAACTGTAATTAATGAATTGCTAGAATCTCAGTGTGGAGAAGCTTGAGAGTTAAAAACAGTCTTAGGCTGCTTTTTAAAAATTTTTATTTGGATAATTTTACATACCATACAATTTACCCATTAATATGTAATTCCTGGGCTGGGGATTTAGCTCAGTGGCACCGCACCTGCCTTGCAAGCACAAGGTCCTGAGTTTGATCCCCGGTACCACCCCCCCCCCCAAAACATACATACATACATAATTCCCATTTAGTATGATGTTAGCATTGGGTTTTTCATAAATACCTGATACGGTTTGAGAAAAGGTCCTTCTATACCTATTTTCATCAGAAATGAATATTGAATTTTGTCACAGGCTTTTTCTACATCTATTGAGATGATGATGTGATTTTTGTCTTTGCCTCTGTATTGTCTGTATTACATGGTGGTGTATTATGCTTATTGATTTACATATCTGGAAGTGTCCTTGAATCCCTGGAATGAAGCTATCTTGGTTATGAGGTAAGATATTTTAAATGATTAATTGCAGTATCTTGTGTTGAGGATTTTGCACCTATTTCATTAAGGATATTGGCCTATTTTCTTGTTTTGTTAACTCCTTCTCTGGTTTTGGTATCAAGGTAATGCTAACTTCTAGCAGTAAGTTTGGCAGTGCTACCTCCTTTTGAAGAGTTTAAGGCATATTGGCATTAGATCTTCCCTGGAGTTCTGGAAGAATTCAGCAGTGAATCCACCAGGCTTCTTTTAGTTGGTAGTGTTTACTGTTTCTATTATGTGGCCTGTTACTGGTCTTTTCAGAATTTCTGTCTCTTTGGTTCAATTTTGGTAATTTTGGTAATTCAAGTGTCTGTAGGTATTTCTCCATTTCTTCTAGGTTCTCCAATTTTTAGGAATAAAAGTATTCAAATAATTTTTTATAATCCTCTGGATTTTGGTGGTGTGATTTCACCTTTCTGTTTCTAATTTCATTGATAGGGGTTCTTTTTTCTTTCCTTTTCTTGGTAAGTTTGGCTAAGGGTTTAATCAGTCTCCTTATCCTTTCAAAAAACCAACTCTGATTCATGATCTTTTATTTTTTAATTTTTTGAAGCAAAAACATTTAAGATATACAGAATGATAACATCCATCATAGGGAATCTGTACCTGTACATGATATATCTTGCTTCTTCTTTTTTTCCATTCCCCCCCTCCCTTCGACCCCGCTTCCCCTCCTTAATATGCAAAAGCTTTGTGTCCATTTTTTTCTATCATTTTCTTTTTTTTTCTTGTCTCTTCTTTCCTCCCTCTTTCCCCCTTCCTTGTTCCCCTTCTCATTTAACCAGAAAGCAATAGGAAAGCAAATTACAATAGCTTCAGGCAGAAAACTGAGCAATGAGTCATTTTTTAATAACAAAACCTTTATTGGTACATTTTAGATATACATAATGCTAACACTCATCATAGGGAATTTCCATCTGTACCTGATACCTCCCGCCTCTTTTCTCCCACCCTCCCCTCAAGCTCCCTCCTTTCCCTATGTAAAAAAGGTTTGTTTCTATTTTTTCCTTCTATTTTCACCTTTTTTCTTGTCCCTTCCTTCCTTTCTCCCTCCCCCGTCCCTTATTCCCCTACCCATTGGAACATTTGCTTTCCATTTCCCAATATCTATTCTACATTTTAGTCCTTATTTCCACTTTTGGTTTCCCACACCAGAGAAACAATATGGCACTTAAACACATGTGTGTCCTATTTATTTCACTTAAGTACAGTCTCAAGGTGCATCCATTTAGCTAGAAATGTCTCAAGCTCATCCTTCTTTATGGCCGAGTAGTATTCCATTGTATTAAAAAAAAAACTCCACATCTTCTTTATCCATTTGTTGGTTGATGGGCATTTGGGCTATTTCCAAGATTTAGCTATTACAACATGGCTGTACATATATCACTGTGGTATGATTTGTTTATTTTATTTTATTTTTTTGGTACTGGGTGGAGCCACTGAGTTAAATCCCCAGCCCTGATTTGTTTAATTCTTTCAGGAGGATTCCAACAAGGAGAATAGCTGGGTCAAATGGAACCTTTAGTTTTGGTTTTTTGAGGAATCTCCACACTGATTTTCACAGTGGTTGCACCAGTCTGCACTCCTAACAACAGTGGAGAAGGGTTCCTTTCTCCCCACAACCCCGCCAGCATTTGTTATTGGTTGATTTCATGATAGCAGCCATTCTTTCTGGAGTGAGATGGAATCTCAGCGTTGTTTTAATTTGCTTCTCTCGAATGATCAGTGATGTTGAACATTTTTTCATGTTTATTTACTGTTTATATTTCTTCTCTGAGTTGTGTTTATTCATTTCACATGCCCAGTTTTGGATTGGGGCTTTACATTTGGGGGGGTCTGATATTTTTAGTTCTTTATATATTCTAGATAGTAGTCCTTTGTCTGAGGAACAGCTGGCAAAGTATTTTCCCATACTTTGGGATGTTTCTTCACTCTGTTGGTTATTTCTCTTGCTGTACAAAAGCTTTTTAATAACATGAGATCCCAGTTATTGATTTTTTGTGATAGTTTCTGTGTGATTGGGGTTTTGTTCATAAAGTCTTTGCCTACACCAGTGTCTTTGAGGGTTCTACCTATTCTGTCTTCCAGAATATTTAGTATTTCTGTTTTAATATTTAGATCTTTAATCCACTTCGATTTTAGTTTAGTGCATGGTGTAAGATATGGGTCCAGTTTTAATCTTCAGCAAGTGGAAAGCCAGTTTTTTCAACACTATTTATTTACTTTTGGTACTGGGGATTGAACTCGGGTCCTTGCACTTGCAAGGCACATGGTGGAAGCACTGAGCTAAACCCCCGGCTCTCCAACACTATTTATTATAGAGGCTTTCTTCCAGTGAAGGTGTTTGGCTTCTTAGTCAAAGATAAGGTGGGTGAGTGTGTATGGAATTGTTTCTATATCTTTTAATCTGTTCCATTCATCCTCAGGTCTGTTTTTTTCTTTTTTTTTTTTTTGGCCAGTACCATGCTGTTTTTATCACAGTACCTGTGTAGTATAATTTAAAGTCAGGAATCCTGATGCTCTTTGCCTTGACTCAGTTGCCCGAATTGCCTTTGCTATTCTAGGTCTCTTCTGGTTTCAAATGAATTTTAGGATTGTTTTCTCTAATTCTGTGAGATATGCTGTTGGAATTTTGAACGGGATTGCATTAAATCCGTATAACAATTTTGGAAGTATGGCCATTTTCACTGTATTGGTTCTTCCTACCCAAGAACAAGGGGTATCTTTCCATTTTCTGATATCCTCTTCCATATCCTTTTTCAGAGTACTGTAGTTTTCAATGTAGAAGTCTTTTACTTCCTTCATTAGATTGATTCCTAGGTATTTTCATTTTTGGGGGGTGCTATTGTAAAAAGTGTTATTTCACTAATTCTTCTGTCAGTGAGTTTGTTATTTGTGTATAGGAAGGCTGTTGATTTTTGAGTGTTGACTTTGTATCCATCATGCTACTGAATTTGGTTGTTAAATCTAGAAGTCTTTCCAGTGGAGTTCTTGGGGTCTTCTTTTTACAGTATCATGTCATCTGCAAATAATAATAATATAGCTTCATCCTTTCCTATTCTTTCTTACTCTTTTTATTTCTTTCTCTTATCTAATTGCTCTGGCTAATGTTTCCAGAACTATATTGAGTAAGAGTGGTGACAGTGGACATCTTTGTTTTGTTATTGATTTTAAAGTGAAAGCTTTCAGTTTTTGTCCATTTAGTATGATGTTGGCTGTTGATTTGTCATAGATGGCTCTTATCAGATTGAGATAAAGACCATTTATTCCAATTTTCTGTAGGGTTTATATCATGAATGGGTGTTGGACCTTTTTAGATGCTTTTTGTACATCTATTGAGAGGATCATATGGTTTTTGTTCTTGGCTCTGTTAATATAATGTATGGCATTTGTTGATTTGCATATGATGAACCATCCCTATATCCCTGGGATGAATCCTGAATCCTACTTGGTCATGATGTATGACCTTCTTGATGATTTGCTGCATTCTGTTTGACAGTATCTTATTGAGGACTTTTGGATCTGTGTTCCTTCGGGAGATTGGCCTATAGTGTTCTCTCTCT